TGGTTGCACGTGAATTCGCAAAGTAGGTCACAGATCTACGAACACAGTCCGGGAAATCTCGCGAAGAAATATTTCGATTCACCAAAAGGACGAATTTGCGACGAAGAAAACGCGCGAAGTGTGCCGGTGTAATGCATCATACAGATATATGTAGGTTACATCCTGCTTGGCTCAACTTAGCTGTACAGCCTTTGTAGCTTGATAGTTATGACTTCACTTCTGAGAATATATTATATGTATTATATTAGAAAAAAATGTCTTTTTTTTATCTCGGAAAAAAACTTAACGAAAATATTTCGATAGCAGATTCGAACTCAGCGCCTCAAAATACATTTTTTTTTAATGTTTTCTTTTTTTGCACTAAAAATTATTAAAAATTTCTAAACTAATGTAATTATGTGCATAAAATCCGCGGCCATAGATGCATATTTCATAATACTGTACTTCGTAGGACAGGACTAAAAAAATATGATTTTTAATTAATTCGCCAATATGTAACAAATAACATCCAAGAAACATGTATCGTATAAATTTACTAATACTCATAGTTTTGCAACAATGGGAAAATTCTTTTTACTCCTGATATTCTGCAATTATTGTACAATTTCACGCTTACATCTTTTAATTCAGTATCTACTTTTTCTTCTGCGATCTCCCACATTCATTCTTCATAAAAACTTCCTCTTTGTGTGTTTCTCTTCTTTCTCTATATTTTTTTTTTATAAAGCTTCCTCTTGACTCTTGTTTCCATCTAGCGCAACATTCTTTTCTTCATGACTGATGGCCAACGATGATGAAGCGACTAGGAAATTTGTACGACGTCGTTTTTTTCTCAGCATGACACAGCCGATTCACAGCGAAGATCGAAAACGCTCCCTTCGGCACACGTGCGTTGAAGAAATACACTTATACGATTTTATTTTCTATGTTAAAAGAGCTTTGCTCAGCAAAGCATGTGAATGCGTGGAATTATTTAATTTTTTTAAAGACAATAAGAAGTGGCGTAGTTTCTTTAAAAATTTAAAATATATGATTATTTTTATTGTCGAATCTTCTCAATGGGAATATAAAATATTTTTATTCAAATGCGAATGTACATTAGCATCAAATATGTAACTAACAAAACCCGCACCATGGCGCGAGTGGAAGAGAGCATATTTCTTCTTCTGAGATACACACTAGCAAATGCAAGCAATCCGACTACGCGCATCCGAGATTTAATGATCCTTTTCTCAGAGAATCGGTAGAGGAGCGTCCTACGATTTCACGATTCATTCCACGTCCGCGAACGTCTTAGAACAGCGAAAGGCTTTTTATTCCTCGGTAACTCTCGAATTTGCAATATTTCTCTGGATTACGCGGCCAAGACGGGCCAGGACAAGCGCGAGATGAAGATTGCTTACCTCTGAAGCGGATTTGATCTTCAATGAGAGATAAAGAAAGAAAGAAGAAACTGGTTAAGCGTAACAACCAGTAGCCATCACGAGTAATTATTTCCAAGAAAATATTTTATATTGATTCGAGCTTTTCATTAAAGAATGTTCTCTTTCATTTCATGAAGGCACCTCTTTTTAATGACATAATTTTTGCACGCAATTTGTGTGTTATTATATACATTATAAAAGTTCTTCTTAATTAACACAAATTTTCAAAATGTAAAATAACATGTAAAATAACACAAATAGAATAAAAATACTATGTTAAACCTCATGTACATAATTAATATAATAATTATAATTATATAACTATAATAATCTTATACATTGTTAATAAACAACATTATTATAAAAACGGAATTAATCCTCTCACACAATTGTCTTTTTAATGAATAAAAATTATTTTACGCATCCCAAATAAGCAACTAAAAATGTATGAAAATATAATGGCCAAAATTGAATTATAGAATTTCTCCTGGGAGAAAATTTAAAAATAATATAATCAGAGCGCGAATATGACACCGAAGCGTTTAAAATCCACCGATTTGGAACTTGAAAGCGAATCTCGAGTGTCGGCCATTATCGATATGGCGAACATGAACGTGTTTCACAGGGCGATATAGTCTCGTGCTTTAAGACGCACTCCCTGGTTGAATCAATGACGCGATCTACTTGGGCAACGAAGAGAAAAGCGACGAATCTCCTTGAGGATGAGGGAGTTAGCAAATTGGCGAATTGGGCCGACAGCGGGCCATTTGAGTGAAGCCACGTGTCTTTCCATGTTGTGTACAGGCGTAGGTGAGAAAGAGAGAGAGAGAGAGAGAGAGAGAGAGAGAGAGAGAGAGAGAGAGAAAGAGTGTCTGTGTGTATGTGATGGAAATCTCCTAATAGCTTCGGACGCTGCAAGGATGCAGTAGGTGTGACACATTAATCAGTAGCAGCGTTCACTTGACTCCAGCCACCCGTGAAGTGAATTCTAAGATATACAACGTGTCTCGCTTAGATGTTGCGCACTTCCCGTGATTGCGGACATTGCAGAACAAATAAAAAAGAATGCTTCTCGTTCTAGAGCACCAAGATATTGATAGTTCTTAAGCTAGTGTAATTGAAGGGTTAAAGAATTATAGAGGTGAACACTGCGCACAATTTCGTGAGAGTAAAGTAACACATTTTTTATTTTTTAATTGTCTAATTTGAAATGACATTACATATATTTTTAAAAAATTTTAACTTGAAATTTAATGCGCAATACATTAATATAAAAAATTAAAAAAATTTGTGAAATAGTGTTTTTTATTTCTAAAATAAGAAATTTTTTAAGTTTTGAGTGTTATAAATAAATATCTTAAATGGTGATATAATATATTAATTTAGAAAAATGTACGAAAAAAAAGATGTCATATATTTCTAAGATAAGAGTTGAACTTCAAAGGAATTTATAATCATGAAATGCGTAATGTCTGCCACTTCGAATATAACGCCAAATTTCCCATTTCACTGGAATTTCAAGAGGCTCACTTCGTTCTTCTCAGATCGGCACCATTACGAATTTCCGTTTAGATATGTACGAGATTCCGCGCGTGACATCCTTGGCATTAGCCTAGTAAACGCATCTTTGATCCAGGTAGTAGATTATCTATACAATTACATATTTCTGCATACATAATTTCTGTTTTATCAAAAAAGAAAAGATTTCTTGAATTTTTATTATTTTATAATTTACTGAAATTGATTTACAAACAAGATATTTGGGTATAAGTTTTAATACACATAATAAGAAATGTAATAAAATAAAACGGCGTATCCAGTGCAGGAGTCAGATATTTTACATTGTAAAAAATTATTTATAAATATGCTTCACAACTTTACATGATTTTAAGTTATACAATTTTATTCTTCAGATTTTGATCTTTAAAATGAAAAAAAATTATTCAATTATGTAT